GCAGGGGCTGAATGGAGTGCAGAAAAGGCAACCTCAAGAAGGAAGAATTTGGTGGTATATCACAGCAATGTTAGGGAGAGGATGCTGAGACCACTGAACACTTCTGGAAGGTTTGGCTGTTGGATCTCTGGGATGGTTCCAGACTTGTCAGCATATCAAATCTTGGCAACACCGATTCCTTTACCAAATGTATCCCTCAAGACACCATCTGTGTATGCTCTGGCTTCTATGCTGCTTTTTTTTTTTTTTTTTTTTTCCTAGGGAGAGAGATTTCTGATCAGCTACTGTCTTATGCTGGATAGATAGTTTGATGAGGGCATTTCTCATGACGAACTAGGAGATTGACATTCTGGCTTCTGTAAGAGCATTTAAAGTGAATCTTTTCCAAGAAGGAGATCACCCCTGGAAAGGCTGGCAAAGTGGAACTTCAGGGCTACCAAGCCAAGGATCTTACCATGGTTCCCACCCAGCAGCTGGCTTCTTTCTCTACTTGCTGAAATAGTAAAAGGAGTTTAATTGTCATAGTGGGGCCTAATAAGAATCCAAAACATCTCTAATCTGCTGTGATTATAAATTGCATTTTTAATCACTGCACCATTTTGTCTCAATTTTCTTTATACATACATATTTTGGTGATCTAAAGTCTGTTTCTTTCATACACATTTCCATATTTTTCCTTATGTGTCCTATATGATAAATTTATAATCCAGATGCAAGTCATTCATATTTTAGAATAAAAATGTCTGCAAAAGAGGAAGAATATTGAATACTGGATATCCATTCTACAAACATGGTATTGCTACTTCACATTGACAATTCTAACCCCTACTTTAGTTCTAAGCTGGAACTAATACTCTTAGGTAGAGATAGTTGCTTTAAAATGTCCTGCAAAGAGAGGAGCGGCAACCTTCCCATACCGGATGCTTCTTATCTGGTGCATTCCCAGTGAGGATACAGAAGGGTTTTTATGAGCCAGCCTCCATAAGCACACCGGCTAGGAAACAGAGTATTGGGATCACATGAAAGCAGAAGAGGAATGTTGGTCTCGGGAAGGCTGGAATGGGACTAGAGCACAAGAGCCAAGGCTCTGCTCCTATAAAAGAGACCATAAAACCCCTAAGTGAGAACTCCAACTTTCCAGAAATAAGAAAAAGGGTTTTTTCAAAACGAGACATGCTAAAAGCATCAGAATCTTCTCTTCACTCAAATTGTTCAGAGTGTATAATCTCATGTCTTTACATATCCAGCCCTCAGTAAAGTCATAAGGAAGACAAATCTCAGCATTATGTTTTTTTTGTTATTGTTGTTGTTAGCCTTTGAGAACATGAATTGATTATCAATAATGTCATGAAAAATGAATAGTATAGGACAGTGATAATGGGAGAATATAAAATACAAGAGAAAAAATAGTCTTTTCTCTACAACCCATGAACTGTTTTTTCACTGTCTACTCCATGGACAAATACATTGGGTAACAAGATGTTGGAAACAAAAATGCAAAGAAGTTATCTTTTCACCATGGTGTAAGGTCCAGGAGAGCAGGGATTTTTATCTTGTTTCATAAACTGCTGTGTCTCTAGCACTTAGTATTGTGCCTGGAATATGGTAAAGATTCAATATATCCATTGAATAAATTTTTGAATATTATCTCATGGAAGAAAAGATGAAATCAAGATGAAAATATGAACCATCTATCTATGCTTGATTTCTGGTTCAAGTCCCAAATGTAGGCCTGGTTTGCTTGATGACTTAGAGAAAATGCCATATTTTCTGTAGGGTATTTGATTGTTCTACTCATATACTTTCCTCCACCTTGAGCATAAGGAATCTCTCTCTCTCTCTCTCTCTCTCTCTCTCTCTCTCTCTCTCTCTCTCTCTTCCCTACCAGGGTTCCCATACTGCTATTAAAATCTAGCTCACTGATAACTGCCTCATGGAGACTTTTCACGATTAATCAAATTGGAATTATTATTCTGCCTTACTCTGTGCCTTTGCTGCAAGTAATAATTGGCATGATGACAACATTAGAAAAACTTTATCTAAATTGGCTTAGACTTTCCTCCTGTTCTTTCCCTTGATTTTCATTTCTTCTTATAATATCGCACTCTCCATTTCTTTCCTTACTGGCCTCTTTCACAGGGTCCAAGATTTATTATTCACAATCTCCAACCCCTGCAACCTCCCACCACTGTTAACATATCTGTTATATGAAAATTTCTCAATATCTAGGGCAGTAAATGACTTATTCTTATGCTACAGAACTCAAGAGGTCGTTGACACCAGTAGACAGAATACTGATCTGATAATCGTGTGACCTTGTTTCTGGAAGGAGACCTGTCACTAACCAGTTTTGTAAACTTGGGCTACTCAATCTGCCTGCACTGCTCTTTTCTCAGGTGTAAGAGTGAGAGTTTGTCTAGAACAGGGCTTCTGTAAGTATGTATGCACATTCTGTAACACTGGTCCTGAATATGTCATTCAAAAATATGTTCTGAGATTATATTCATTTCAGAATTGCTATATGTCACCTCCTTGAATATTAGAACGGTAAAGGCTCTGACAAGTCTTGAAATTAATAAACTGTTTTTCTTTACCTAATAATAATTATATTTTTAAGGCAGAGGTAGCATATTGGCAGTTCCTTATGAGGAAATCACTAGTTGAGTTTTCTGGGAAGTTTTGCTGCCATTGCAAATCTCTGTAGCTCCAATGCCAACTACTGTAGGTACAGAGGTGAATAAGATAAGATTTCTGCTTTTCAGGCATATAGGATCAAATGTGGGAGAGAGACAAATGTGATATAGTGGCAATTGTAGATTAAAGGTCCGTTCAAATAATAATGGACTTGAGGACTGAGAAGCTAGTAAATCTGCCCAGAGTGGGGGCAGAGGATGAGGAGGGGAAGGCTCCACAGGGGTGTGGCAATAGAGTAGGAGGGAAAGGACGTTCCAGGCAGAAGAAAGAAGGCATAAATTCCGAAGGTGTGTTCTAGGCCTGGAAAATAATTCTGTGATTATGGAACCTAGAAGTGGAGGCTGTCTAGGAGGAAAGGGGAGGGATAAATTTCTGGGAAGTGGATGGAGGACTTGTTTGCCATGTGCTGTAAGTGCTGCTTTAAGGAATCTGAAATTTATCCTATAGGTAAAAGGAAAATATCCTTAGATTGGTTTTTCATCAGAGGAATTGCCTAGTCAATAAGTGTTTCTCAAAAAGAGTTTTAAAGTGCCAAAGCAGAGAGGAGCTGGGAGAGACTGGCAGGGAGATTAACACTGCTTCTATTGACACAGCTCAAGTAAGAAATGATAAAGGGCTGAATAATGACAGTGAAAAAGAATGAGATGGAGGAAATAGTTTCAACAGAAATTTAGGAGCTATAAAGACCATTAAGAGTGATTGGATAGAAAGAAAGAAGAATACAAAATACCTCTACCAATTCAGCTTGGGAGAGTGTTGTGTGATTATAACATTAATAGGAATAGGAATTTCCAGGAGTGAACTGTTTCATATAGGTTTTGAATTGGACTGGGGGTTCTATTACACGGAGTCATTCACCTGTAAGCACACACCCATCGATTTTTGTGTTACAGAGTTCGAGTGATTTAACTAAATACTATACAGGATTCCTTTTAAAGACATTCAGCATCCACCAAAAGATCTATTTTGGTATTCAATACATTCCTGTCAACAAAGCAGCATTTAAATCTGTAATTTTAAAAAACATTTTAGCCTCTAAATGATAATCATTTCTGGGACTATAAATTTATTTTGGTTTTCATTCAATGTGAAATTCTTTCTTCTTTCAGCCATAGATTATTCTTTATACAATAATATCTCAATAGAATTTTGTGAAACTATTTCCATTTTCTAGTAGGAAACAGAATACAAACAATTTTAGTGTTGATTTATATATTAAGCCATTATTTTTGGAATTAATCCTAAATCTGGCCTTTGTCTTTAACAGTAAAAATTGTTGTTGATAATGCATTAAAATATATTGTATTTGTAGTCAGGGAGTGGGATTGTTTCAAAAACATTGTATGCCAGTGAAAATTAGAAATAATATTTTTCTTTTGTAAGAAGTTCATGCTTACTTATTGTGCAAAACTTAGCAAAGATTTTAAGGAATAATTTTCTCAACAACCTTTTAAAGTAGAGGGTTCTTTTATTTAGGGGGAGAAGAACTCCGTTTGAGAGGCAGGATGTGGAAACTAACATGACCCAGGCTGTTTACACAAAGCAGTCTACACCTCCCTGATTATGTCAGAGAATTTTGCCTTTACCTGAGACAGCTGCCTTCTATTAGCACTAGAAACAAATAGTAAAATCTACAGTCACTGATCCATGACCACCTTCCCAGTTTGAATTTTTTTGTCCAAGAGGACCTGGAATCCAGAAACTGAGTTGGTGGAGAGGAGCTGTTGCTAGACATAATATCAGAGGAAAGAAAGTACAGCGTCCACCTTAAAAACAAACCAAGCTATCGAAATGACCACGCATTATAAAATGAACATAATAGGCGCAGGCAGTGCCAGTTTATGATTTATTTCCTTTTACATCATAAAGGAATAAAGATAAAAAGGAAATGGTCTTATCATGATAGTCGAGGCTGCCTCTCCCTCTACAATTTCTGAAACTGTGGTGCATTTAAGGCAGCTCTGAAACTGTTTTGAAATAAATTTAGATGTTTTGGAGGGCAGATACATGTAATGGTTGTTTTACTATTCCGGTTAGTATTCTGGAAAAATGGTTGCTATGTCTAAACCTTGATATTTTGCAGATTTCTAAATGCATGTTATTGCATTTGGAAGAAATTCTGTAGTATTGAGAAAATGCAATGCAAAAATGAGTAGAGACACGAGGTCCACTTAACTCAGAACAAAATAGCCTTATTTTCCCACAGTCGAAATAGAGGGCAGGGAAGTCAGGCAGTGGTTTCTGAAAGCCAGCAACCTACTAGCACTGTGCCACTCTCTCGCCTGATCCAGTGCCACTTCCTTCACTTGATATCTGTTTACTTTAGAGGAGGCAGTTTTTGAGAAAGGATCATAAATATCCTGGCCCAGTGCCCCAGGAGCCATGACAAGCAAAGGAACATACTCGCCTGGAGATAGGCTTTGCTGTATTTAAATGTGTGGGTTAATTTTTTATCCATTTTAATAACTGTTTTCTTCCTGCTTCTACTTCTTTGCTTTCTCTTTCTGCTCTGAAGCCGTGGGCACAGAAAGCTCTGCAGGCAAGTTGTTCCAGAGCATATTGCAGGACAAACCTGTAACGAATAGTTAAATTCACGGCATCTGGAGTCCTAATCCTTTTCCGAAATGGCAGGTGTGAGTGGCTGTATAAAATATTCTATGTTTATCTTCAACTTCGTGTTCTGGGTAAGTGTTTTCCTTTTAATTATCAATTTTATGCAAGAAAGAGGATCTTGATATAAATATCGTAAACAAGAACAGACTGTACACTAGAGAAATAAGAGAAGGGGAAAATGTATTTTCCATGTACTTGTTTGGATTTGTTTGTTCTTTCTTTGGTTATTTCAGTAATTGAAAATGAGCCAATGACTCAAAAAAGTGCACTTCAGAATCTGTGAGGATAAACATTTCATAAATGTTTTGATATTGCAGCAAAAACAATCACAAAGGAAAAAAATATCCCTTAATTAAAGGACAATTATCCTTAGTTGTATATCAAGCAGGCCTCCCTAACTTAAGGACTCTAGTAAAAACATGGTCCGATTCCATCCAGAGCCCAACTGATTCCCTCCCTTCACGTCTGGGTTTGAACAGGTGAATTGCAAGGTGTGGGACAATAAAGATGATTTCCAGAGCCCCAAAGAAAATACAAATGGGTCATGAAAAACTTGAAGGGGAAATGATAAAATTTCTAAATCATAAGAAGATCGAACCAAGACAGTGGATATATATGTATGTATTGGCATTTTAAAGTTAGCATTTTGCTGTGTCAACACCCCACCTTTTAATTGACAGGGCTTATATTTTAGCAATTTGTTATGTTTCTCTTGAAAGTCCATTGACGTAGACGTAACCAACACATTAATAAGTGGCATCTATCAATGGAAAATGGAAAAACAAGGTGTGAAAAGAGCAGGCTGGGATGTTGGGAAATTGACCTTATCATTTTTAGCATAGACGGTACAATTAAAGATTGTTTAAACATCGGTCCGTGGAAATAGCCTGAAGTATTTAAGTGAAAAAAATATTTTGTAATACTGAATTAAAAGCTAGCTTATCCACTCCAAGGATGAAAGAACTCTGGTTCTGTTTTTGTACCTGGTTGTCTCTAGTAAACAGACATCTCATAGTGTTGCTATATTTCTGTTCTATTAAAATAATGAGGAACTTAATTAAACTTAACTACATGAATACAGCTTTGTTGTTTAGACTGACTTTTCATTCAATAATCAGTAGTGCTAATGAGTACAGATAGATATATTGGTGAATTTTAAATAAGCAAGTAAATATTTTAAAAAGTAAAATAAAGGTTTGTACTTTGTACTTTCCTTTTAATGGGCTGCCTTTGCAAATATTAAATGTAGCTCATGCTACATATATGCCAATTTTTTAGTTATTTCTGATACATTTCTTCCCTTGAGATACTTAAATTGATTAAACATTGGGAGTAGGATATATAAAAAAAGAAAAGCCTGTATTCTTTGGTTTGGTTTTGTTTCTAGCTTTTTTTTTCTTATGGAGAACTTTGAATATTCACAAAAGAAGACAGAATAGGTAATCAACTCCATTGGGCAGCCACAGTGGCCACAGAAAGATGACCAATCTTTCTCCATTTATACTCTATTCACTTCCCCACCCCATATTATTTTGAAGCACCTCTAAGACATATAATTTTGTCTGTAAGCATTTTAGTATACATCTCTGAAACATAATTTTTTATAAAATGTAATCACAGCCAGGCGCAGTAGCTCATGCCTGTAATCCCAGCACTTTGGGAGGCGGAGGAGGGTGGATCATGAGGTCAAGAGTTTGAGACCAGCCTGGCCAACATGGTGAAATCCTGCCTCTACTCAAAATACAAAAAATTACCTGGGCATGGTGGCATACGCCTGTAGTCCCAGCTACTCAGGAGGTTGAGCCTGGAGAATTTCTAGAACCCAGCAGGCATAGGTTGCATTAAAGCAAGATAGTGCCACTGCACTCCAGGCTGGGTGACAGAGCAAGACTCCATCTCAAAACAAAACAAAGAAACAAACAAAATGTAACCACAATATCATTATTACACTTTAAAAACTTAATAAGAATTTTTAAATCGATTGTCAAATATTCATCCAGGGTTCAAACTTCCAGTTACTTCATAAATGTTCCTGTTAAAATCAGGATCCAAATAAGGTCCACATTTTGTGATTGGCTAATGTATGTTTCATGTCAATTTTAATCTGTTGATTTTCCCTCAGTCAACATCTCTTTTTCTCCCTACTGAAATGTTATGCACTGGTGTGTGTTTGTTTTATCACATTACCCACATTCTGGATGTTGCTATTTGCATACCTGTGGTGCAGCCTGATAAAATGGTCCTTTTTTGGGGCACAGAAATCATAAGTGATTTTGTATTCTTTCATCAGGAGGCATTGGATGTCTGATTGTGTCCCTCTTTTGTGATGTTCATAGCCATTGATGGTCAAGTGCCAAAATCCATCATTAGTTCATTAAGAGGTTCAAAGTGATGATATTCTAGTTTCATCAACTTTTCTTTACTTATTAGCTGGAACACTTTCTGCAAGGAGAAATTTCTCATTTACTGTTTCATTTCCTGGGTATTCCCTTTTTAATTTTTTTTTAAGTGGCATAAAATACTTCTTTCTTACTCTTTACTTACTGTATCGCAAGTGATGAGTTAAGTTACTAGTGTTTTCCAACAGTGATAAGCTAATATTTCTTTAATTATCCTTATGAAATGATAGATCAACTTCATTACAATATTTACCTTTATTAATGTGCAATTTGTTCCATCTCTGGCCAGCAGGAGCTTCTTCAAGATGATTCACGTTCTTTTGAAATGATCATAAATTGATTACCTTTATAGTATTTGGTTTGACATGTTCCAGATCACTTGCCTATTTTCTGCCCAGTCCTGGAATCAGCCATTTATCCAAGAAGTTCAGATATTTTCTTTAAAGAACTGTAGTCATTGTTTTCCTTATATAATTCAGAATATATATGGCACATTTAAACAAACCAAAATATTAATATGCTAATAAATGCGTGGCTCGCACTTTATTGAAGATGTTTCAAAGCACCCAAACCAGTAGCAAACTTCAAATTATGAAACAGTTAAAATATATCTTTGTGGTATTAAAACACCCTGGAAAGTGCTAATAGCTATTGTGAAGACATCAGAGGTCAGTGTTTCATTAAACAGCTAATCAAAAATTTGGAATAGATTTGAATTATCAAAATAACAAAGACAGTCTAGAAAGGGGTAGGTTATAGATTCAGGATTATTTACCTACCTACCTTGATAGGGTTTAAGTTAGATTATAGAGGTCTGTGTCATACCAGACCCAGATATTACCATTGCTTTCTTGGGGAGCTCTGATTATTATCATTATTATTATTATTGGGATGGAGTCTCACTCGATTCCCCAGGCTAGAGCACAGTGGCACAATCCCAGCTCACTGCAGCCCCACCTTCTGGGTTCTAGTGATTTTCCTGCCTCAGCCTCTTGAATAGCTGGGATTATAGGCATGCACCACCACACCCAGCTAATTTTTTTGTATTTTTAGTAGAGACGAGGTTTTGCCGTGTTGTCCAGGCTGGTCTTGAACTCCTGACCTCAGGTGATCCTCCCACCTCGGCTTCTCAAAGTGCCAGATTACAGGCATGAGCCACCACACCAGGCAGGAGCTCTTATCATTTTATGGTTATATTATTTGTTTGTTTCTTTGATGATAGAGACATGTCTTTATGATGCTGTAGGTTTCAGTTAGACCTTCGTAACATCCCTTGGCTATTCCTACCACCAGCATATGTGGTAGGATTTACAATCTGTATATAAGAGATTTTGAAATGGAATCTTTCAGTGAGAGCGACAGTTGCAAAAACCAGTGATAACTTCTTAGCCAACAGGCGACATCAATATTTCAAATTAAAATATAGGCAGCAGGAGTCACCTCTGAGGTTAGGGAAGGTTCCTACTTTTACTCTCCCTTCTACGCCCAGCTCAGAGCTCTCAGCTGGAGTTTTACAATTCTTCATAGGAAGTTAGCAATTTGTCACATTCCTAATGTTTACTTAAGTAAAAATTTTAATGATCCCACTGATGTGGTTTTCTTATAGATGCCCAAGGCCTTATGTTTTCAAATGCATTCTTCCAGGTATAACTTGCAAAACTGAGCCTTTGCAAAGTAGAGCCAGATGTTGAAATATCTCTTAGATATGCATATGGTCATTTAATCTAAACAGACCCGGTTCTTTTCAGGGACAACTTGAAATATACCACATAAGCATATGGTGATTTCCATTTGTTAGAATTACTAATTGAAGAAAAATATGTAAAAGTAAAAGTTATTCCTGATCACTAATGCTAGCGTTTGATGCAAGTTACAGAACTGTAAGTGCTGCAGATAATAGATAAATTACAGGTATGAAACCTATTTCCCTGAGTCTTGTTTCAAAAATAGATGAAATGCCCCAATTTTTAAATGCTCCTCTCAGTTAGTTCAAGCCTGGGATATTGTAGATGCTTAGGGTGCCTTAGGGGTCTGTGTGAGTATGAAACACGGGGCCTCTGGCTGGTGGATGCAGCGGAATAATGACCAGAGACAGAGAGCTATGGAGAGGCCAGCTCTTAATGAAGGAAAGCAGAATGAGATATATTATCAATCCCAAATGAGTCATAGGGAGGAGCCGAATTGTAAAGCTGAATATATTAGTAACTGAAGGAAGCCAATGCTTGAGGAGGTTTGAAGAGAGCAGAAAGAAGTTGGAACTTGGGGAGAGCCCAAGATCCAGAGTTTCAGTATTCATCATTGTATTTTATGTGATGTTCAGCCCTTGAGACTGGATGTGCTGAGAGCAATTGAAAGATTGGAGGCAAAGCAGACATAACCGAGATAGTGGTACACTAAAAAGAATAGGACACAATTATATTTTATTGTGTCCATTGATGAAATCTTTCAAGATGATAACCTAAGAATAGCTGAAATGTATGAATTTAGTAAATACAGTGGTTGCCTGGCCCTATGTAATTAGCATGGAGCTAAAGCGTTAGAGCCCACTGGTTGATAGAACAGGCTGAATGTCAATCAGTAGCTGTGCTTCTCTGGGGAAAGTGGTTAACCTCTCTGTGCTTTTATTGTCCTCATCTGTAAAAATGGGGATAGGAGTAGTATATACCTCATGG